CTCACCTACATCGTCCACAAGGGACGACTCGGGAACTCAACTCCTACCTCGGGCAGCTCACCTTTCCCCCTATGCCCAGGGGAAAGGTATCAAGCCGTTTGACAGCTGATGCAGGCTGTCAAACCGGCTTTTACGCGGAAACAGGCGGGAGCAGCAAACAGCTGCGTCCAGCGAAGGAGCCTGCCACCGGAAGTCCCCAGGATCATAACTTCACATAGACCACTGAGTCCAACATCTGTTTAATCCAGGAATCCAAATTATGCATCCCAGCAGATGGATGTTGAGAATTCTTTGAGCACCTCCAATGAAGGAGAGCCCATCTTCTTTCAAGATGACGGATATCACCACTGAATTGCTCTTACCATTACTAATTTTGTCTAACATTTAATCCAAACTGCATCTCTGAGGCTTAAATCTGTCACTCTGAATCCTGTGCTGTGAAACAAGAGGGAACAAATATCAAGCATCTTTTGGATGCTTGAAGAGCATTATCACATTGTCCCTCAGACATCATTTGTCCAGGCTAAACATGGCCAGGTCCTTCTGATTCATAGAAATTGGGTCCTGAATCATCCTTATCAACCTTCTTTGGGCATTATCCTGTTATAGTTGTCCCATCACCCACATTTTCTAGGGAGTTCCCAAACTCATTTCCTTAACTATCACTGCAATGTTATCAGACAACTTTCTACCAACATTCTCCTGATCCATTACTGTCCATCAGATTACAGATTGAAACGTGTCCCACCAGTTTCACACCATTTATAGTCCAATATCACTCTTTGAAGAATCAGGATTGATTGTATCTGAAAGAGTCCTTAAAGACTTGAGAATGTATCTCTAGAAAGCAAAAAGAGGGATCTGGATTTTGGAGTGATAATTAAAAGTGGAGTTTATCCTATATAGTTGTTATGGACTTCAAATTTCAGAATTCTCAGTAATTGCAAAAAAATAAAACAAAGTTTCATGGTTTTTTTCCCTCTCCTTATCCATCAGTCCCAAAAGAAAAGTCTCTGCTTTTAATTATATATTCATCCTTAAAATGTTCTGTATTATTAAATGCAATGCATTTTTTTTAGCTTTCTTCCATGTCCACCAAACATGAATAAATGTCCCTTCATGGTAAAAATGATCTCAGAGAAGCCATGCTACAATCCCCTTCCACAAACTGGGTGGCCTCCAGATATATGGACTTCAAGTTTCAGATTCTCAGTAATTGCAATGATAGCTGCACAATTCTGGAAGCTGAAGTCCATGTCTACAGGTAGTCCAAGACCATTATGGATCAACCCTGGCTGGAAGCTATGATCACTGGCCTGAAAATTCTCTGTTGATGTTCTCCACTTCTAAATTCAGACAGGCATTTTCTTTTGGCATGCTTGCATCTAACCACCACCCAGTAGACTATTATTGGATGAATATTAATGTCTCTGTGACCGTTAGCTACTCACAGGGCAGAAACCCTTGTAAAAAAGAAAAGTTGGAGAGTTCCTCAAAGGCTTAAGAATATATCTCTAGAAAGCAAAAAGAGGGAAGTGGGTTTTGGAGTGATAAAGAATTTAAAGGTGGAGTTTATCCTAAACAGTTGTCCCATCATCTATGTTTTCTAGACAACTCCTAAACTCATTTCCTAACTGTCACTGCAATGTTATACATTCTATCCAAGCTAACTTTCCCCAACCCATCATGTCCATCAAACCACAGCTTCTCACTAGTTTTTGTCCATCTGACACACATCTCACCAGTTTCACTAGCAGGACCTACAGTCCAACATCATTCTTTCAAAATTCTGGATTGATTGTTCCTGAAATAGTCCTTAACATTTATAAATCAGAATTCCTTACCACAGGTTCGGAGATATCCCAGGATGACATCTGTCATGCTAATTTCATATGTGCAGATCTGGGGCACAAGGAAATTAGAGAAGAGAAAAGAAGAGGTAGTAATCTTTATTTTATATGCAGAAACACTCGCATAACATCATACATGTATTGGTTCCTAAGATCAAATGTCTTTGATTTAAGCATAATGATTGGCTGCCATCAAGTTCATATAACTAGACCATATAACTAGATCTTCTCCAGATGAATCAAACTTATTGTTTCACTGTATGTAGCTTTACATCTATATGAGTTTTTCAAGTTTTTCAGCTCAACAAGTGCAATGTTTGATATACTAAAATTTACTTTTTCTCTCTATTCCTTCTCCTAAACATAAGGAAAGGTTAAAACTTCCTTTAGATCAAGGGTGAAGAAGATTCCTTCTTCAGCTCTAAAAGAAGAATTAGTAGGTTACAGAGTTGTGTTAATTTGGAAGTCCATCCACAGTTACATTTTTTAATGATTCAAGGATGGTAGAACAATTGGATTTATTGATTAGAACATAAGAAGGTTAGTTAGTAGAAAAAACAGCAATGCAAACCCATAAACCTTACCTGATTTGGAAGATTTCTCTGCAAATCCACCCAACATCTCCATTATGAAGAGTTCACCAATAAAAGAAATCTGACATTGTATTTCCATTATTTAAGGTCTCGAGAGGGTTTTCTCTCTCTTGAGAAGAGAAAGTGAACTTGGGATGTTTTCATTTGTTTAGTAGCAGCTGTGGTCAGATGCATGAGTCCTTCTGGCTGAGAACCCTGACCATTGTAGCCCAAGAGGACAACAGAACGACAGGAAGACTTAGAGTAGCTCACACCTTCATTACTATCTGGTTGGATTTCTACAATATATACTGCTCAAAAAAATCAAGGGAATGCAAACTCCTTCAGTTCCATGTTAAAATGTTCCCTTTATTTTTTTGAGCAGTATATCTTATGTGGGGCTGCTTTTTAGCACTATTCAGAAACTTTAAGAGGTTCAAAATGTGATGGCCATGTTCTTAACTGCCTCTTGGTATTGGGAGCACAGAACACTGAGGTTGTGGCCTGTGTACTAGTTAAGAAGGGGGTATGATGGCTCACTGGTTAAAGATGCTGAGCTTGTCGGCTGGAAAGCTGACAGCTCAGGTTTGAGACCCAAGCACCTCACAATGGGGTGGGCTCCCATTGCTTACTCCAGCTCCTGTCCATCTAACAGTTCGAAAGCATGCAAATGCGAGCAGATGAATAAATACCACTTTGGTGAGAAAGTAACAGTGTTCCATGCACCTTTGCTGAATTGCCATGCTGGCCACATGACCACAGAAATGTTTTCTGGCCAAGAAACAGAGAGTCAGACATGACTAGACAGGGAAACTTTTACCTTTATTCCTAGTCAAGAACATGAGCAGAGCCCTTTGTGACCTATCCTGGTCCATCTAGTCCTGGAGTCTGTTCTCACAGTGGCCAACCAATGGCAAAAAATCCACAAGTCTTTCAGCAGATGTCCTTTAGAGGCAGTCCCACTTCCATCCAGGCTAATAACCAATGTTTCCCATAACTTCCAAAAGGTCCACCCTTTTCTGAAGCCAACGTAGGTAGTACCAGCACTACATCTTGTGGTAGCAAATTCCCAGTTTGAATTAATCGCCAATTGGTTTGGAGGTACAACTTGAGGCATTTGTGTTGACTGCAGACTGACCTGCTCTAAAATATTTGGTCCTAATCTTGTAGAAGCAACTGCTTGCAAGTCCATCTCTGTACAGGAATGTAGAATGAGAAATTCTGGCATGCTCTCATGTTCAGTTATAAGATCTTACAAAAATAAAATAACATTCCTATAATTCTTGCAATGCATGTTTCATGACCTGTCCTATCTCAAAGGGCTGCACACACTTCCAGGATGAAAAAGGGGATGAAGATGTGTGGTGTGTGTTTTTTTCTTTTCTTTTGTTTGGTTTTGTGTTGTTTTTCTGTTTTCACTGAGGTTTTTACCAATGCCATTATTTGTTTCAGTTGTCCTGTTGTTATACCTTCTATTTAATAAGCCCACAGAAAGTTAAATTGACTTCACAAGCAAATATACTTCTCATTTACCCTATCAAATAGAGTTCTCTGGGCAGGGGACAATTGCAATTATTATTTTGGGGTTGGCAAAACTTCTGCAATTGTTTTAAAAGTAAAAACAATGTGGTAATTGGAATTTACTTAATTGATTGGTTTTTATCAGCAATTTCCACAGATAAATCAGTTGCTTCAAAGTTCTTCCTATAATGAAAATCACTTACCAAAACAGAACTGTTTCTATATGAAATTTTAACAAGAGATTTTTTTCCCCTCTATATGAATGTGCTCACTCAATCAAAATGGAGTTGAAAGAGATCTTGGAGGTCTCCTAATCCAACCTCCTGCTCAAGTAGGAGACCCTATACCATTTCAGACAAATGGCTAGCTAGTCTCTTCTTAAAAACCTCCAGTGATGAAGAACCCACAACTTCTGGTGGCAAGTTAATTGTCTTCACTGTTTGGAAGTTTTTCCTTAATTCCAAGATGCTTCTCTCCTTGATTAGTTTCCATCCATTGTTTCTTGTCCTGCTGTCGGGTACTTTGGAAAATAAGTTGACCCCTTCCTCTTTGAGACAACCTCTCAAATACTGGAGTACTGCTATCATGTCCTCCCTAGTCCTTCTTTTCTCTAGACTAGCCAAACCGAAATCCTGCAACTGTTCTTCATGTGTTTTCGTCTCCAAACCTTTGATCATCTTAGTTGCTCTTCTTTGCACTTTTTCCAAAGTCTCAATATTTTTTTTGCAATGTGGTCACCAAAACTGGATACAGTATTCCAGAACTTCAAACTATTGGAACTCAATAGTTTGAAGCCACTCTTCACTTAGGAACAATGAAGTTGACATGTTCGTATTTTGATCCTGCATTGCAATGTCAACATAGTAGTCACAGGATCCAATTAATTTTCAGTCACTATATAGTCCCCAAATAGGTTTTTGGCTCATCCTTACATCATGTCGATACTTTATGATAAGGTCTAGATAGCTCAACCATGGCTTGTTTGCTAAACAACAGTGTAGTTGCTTTTGTAGAAGAGACCAAAGTAGAAACCATATTTTATGAACAACAGTTCTTGGTTGGACCTCAGAAACCTAAAGCCAACAGTTCATGAATGAGCTGGTCCATTTGACAAGTAAAACCAAAAGAAACATTCAAGAGCACTTGTCATAGACAACATTCTCAGTTATCTTTCCCAAGGTTGATTCCCTGCATTCCAACATTTAAAGCTAAATGTTTTCCATATTTTAAACCCTTCTTTTAAATGATGTTTTATTTTCTCTATCTCTTGTGAATTTGGTTTATATCCAATGGGAGTGGAAATAGTCAGATCTAAGCACAGGAACAACACAGTGAGAGTCAACCAGCTCCAGTTCTTTATTTCCTTACAACAAATAGACAAAATCTTGTCACACTAAAGTTATAACTTTCTAAGCTTATAGTTATGCCCTGGGAGATACTATGGTGTGGTTACTCTGAATCTTTTCCCAAAGGTCCTTTTTCACAAGGCAAGTGGACTTTTCTCTTTTCTCTTTGAAGACATTTCGCTTCTTGTGCAAGAAGCTTCTTCAGCTCTGACTAGACAGTGGGGAATGGAAGGATCATCACCATCCAGTCAGAGCTGAAAAAGATTCTTGGATGAGAAGCAAAACATCTTCAAAGAAAAACAAGAAAATCCAGTTACCTCGTGAAAAAGCACGAGGGACAACCATGACCTGGATGACTGAGAATCTCCACAGACATCTTGTCTTGGGCCCCTTTCTGAAATGTGCTGCCTCTTCCTTGGGAAGCCATGGTGCTACTTCTGACATTTTCCCTCAGTCCTTCTTCAGAAAATCTGATACCTTTTGATGCCATACAGCAGTGGTTCTCAACCTGTGGGTCGGGACCCCATTTGGGGTCGATCGACCATTTCATGGGGGTCGCCAAGCAAGGCTGTCCGCCATTTTTTTTTGTCCGCCATTTTTTTTTCCATTTTCCGGTGGGTGCCTTACCTCCCTTGGGCTGGGCCAGCTGGTGGTCGGCCTGCTCCATCTCTGCCGCTTGCCAGCTACGCCTCGGCCGGCACAGGGGGCGGAACCACGCATGTGCAGCGCTCCCGGGCAGGGAAAGTCCTCGACTTACGACCGGTTGGGTAGTCCTCGACTTACGACCGGTTTAGTCCTCGACTTACGACCGGTTTAGTCCTCGACTTACAACCAGTTGGGGTCGCAGCATTAAAAAGGTTGAGAACCACTGCCATACAGCTTGAACTTGATGCTACAGTATTTAATTTATTTATGTACTTATTTAGCAATTACTATGTCAGAAAATTACACAGGCGGTCTCTCGCATACACATATGTCGGGATTAGTGAGGGGGATGTCAGGTAAGAAATCGTAAGAAGTAATGGTAGAAATGATGATGTTACCTAATTGTGTAATGAAATATCTGTAAGAAAACCACCAAGCTCAGAGAGCACCAAGGACCCAACAGTTAAAGCCTGAGCTATAAATATTCTCTCCAATTGGTATTTGAAATATATATATGCTCCTCTCTGATTTTACTTATATAAACCTGGATGGCTAATAACAATTCACAACACACCCAAAAACAGATAGATAGAAACCTTTCATTATTTAATTTATCTGCTTTTCAACAGTTTTCTAGAACTGGTTTCATAGCCTAGATTATTACATTTGATAATGTAGATCACAGAAACCTTTCATTATTTAATTTATCTGCTTTTCAACAGTTTTTAGAACCAGTTTCATAGCCTAGATCAGGGGTAGGAAACCTTGGCTCTTTTATGACTCGTGGACTTCAACTCCCAGAATTCCTGAGCCAGCATGACTGCCTCAGGAATTCTGCAAATTGAAGTCCACGAGTCATAAAAGAGCCAAGGTTGCCTACCCCTGGCCTAGATTATTACATTTCATAAAGTAGATATACTGCTTTTTCTGGCCAAAGGCCAACCCCCCCCCCCCCACGATTCAAAAGAAAAATTAAGTTAGATTTAATTAACATTTAATTTCATCATCCCCTGAATATTTTCCTTCATCAAGCTAGAATAGCCATCCAATATTTGCTTGGCTTCAAGACAATATAATTTATTAGCAGCAATATTATTCACAGAAATGGTAAAACCTTCTTACTACCAATGAACAGATTGAGGTTGAAAAACTGAAAATTATGAACACCATAAATACAAATTACAATTAAAAATTCCACAGTTATTGTGAAATATACAAAAGTATGATTTTAAAGAACAGGAATGTCTGTTCTTTAAGGATCATGCTTTTGTATATCCCACAATAGTATTTAAACTAAGAGCATACTTTCATTGTACTCTAGTTCTTCATTGTTTGGCTTATTTTTGTACTTCAAAAATCATAAGAACGATTTACTTTCAACTATAAAAGATCTTAGAAGGGAAAAGGCCCTGATCTCTTGACCAAGGTCTAGACCAATGAATCCACGAATCCTAATTTTCCGGGAACAGTGTTCTTTTTATAGCATCTTTCATCTTCTTGTTCCTCAAGCTGTAGATGAGTGGATTGAGCAAGGGGGTCAGCACCGAATAGAAAAGGGTCACCACTTTGTTGCTTCCTCCTGAAGCTTCAGGGACTACATAAGTGACCATGATGGAGCCATAGAAAAGGCTTACCACTATCGCATGTGAGGTACACGTGGAAAATGCCTTCCGTCTCCCAGTGTTTGAAGGGAGCCTCATTACCGTCCAGAGGAGAGTAGCATAGGAGCAAACAATGAAGAGGAACACACCAAAAATAGCGATGGAGCTGAGGCTGTAGAAGGCCAGTTCTGTGCCTGGGGCTGGAGTGCATGAAGAGGCCAACAGCGGCCCTGGGTCACAGATAAAGTGATCGAGGACATTGGAGCCACAGAAATGGAGCTGGGAAATCAAAATGATGGGTGCCAGAAACCAGAGAAAGCCAGAGGCCCAACAGGAAGCAGCCAGGATGCAGCAGAACCTTTGAGACATCAGCAGTGGGTATCTCAGTGGGTGGCAGATGGCCAAGTATCGGTCTAGGGCCATTGCAGCAAGAAGGAAGCTTTCGGTGGTCCCCATAGAAAAGAAAAAATAGAACTGGAGAAAACAGCCATGGAAAGAGATGACACCCGGCAGTGGAGAGGCCAAATCGAAGAGCATCCTGGGTACCGTGGTGGTTACGTAGCACATCTCTAGACCCGAAAAGTTTCCCAGGAGGATATACATGGGCAGGCGGCTGAGTCGAGAGTCCAAGAGAACAGCCCACACGATGCAGAGGTTCCCCACCAAGGTGAAGGCGTAGCAGATGGAAAGTAGGGAGCATAGGAGCAGCTGGAAGGAGGGCGAAAGGGATGGGAAGCCTAGAAGGACAAAGCCTGTCATCACCCTGGTATGGTTGACTTGGTCCAAAGGGTGGTGCCTCTGTTGCTAGGAGAATCACACATTGGGAAAATGATCGACTTGATTTTTTAAAAAATAGAATTTGATTAAATCGTTAAGATGAAAGTTAGAACTAACACCTAATATTTAGAAGAAAAGGAAGGGAGGGAGGGAGGGAGGAAGGAAGGAAGGAAAGAAAGAAAGAAAGAAAGANGGAGGGAGGGAGGGAGGGAGGGAGGGAGGAGAAATCAATATGGAGAAAAGAAAGAAAAATACAAAGAAATGACTCCTGATTTTCTTTTACAGCAGTTATAAGTATAAAT